AGCCTTGAGCTGAAGAGCTGAGGGACAGCGCCCAGGCCCAGAGTTCAGGCCCCATGACCGGACCCAAAAAAAAAAAAAAAAAAGAGTCTCATGGAGTTTCCTGCCTGGACTGGCTTTGAACCACCATCTGCAGATCTCAGCTTCCTGAGTAGCTAGGATTACAGGCGTGAGCCACCAGCACCCAGCTGGCCTCTGTAATATTTTAGCCAGCCTTTCATAGGTATAGCTCAGTAATCTCCCCTCCTCCAGAAAGCCTGCACCACCCATCCCAAACCCAGCCTGTGCAGACCTCCCGGTGTCTGACCTGACCTCCCATCCCTGTGGTCCCTGAGTCTGTGCCTGGCCTGTGGTGCCTGCCTCAGTTCTTATCTCCCTCTGGGGACCATGACTCTCTTCCTGTGTCACTGGCCTCCAAAGACTCTTGCCCAGAGGGCAGACCCTTAGGGTTTCCATGGCTGAGAGGAACGCTATAGGCTGAAGGCAAAGAAGGACGCAGCTCAATTGGACACGGCACCATTAAAGGCCTCTACATGGGGGACAGCATGTATGATTCAGCTGTCCACAGAGCTTTAATAACAACAGAGACCCTGTGAGCCACCCAAGTGCTGGAGCTTGTTCCTTCCACATGTCCAGTGTTACAGCTAGCTGCAAGGCCTGGGCTCAGGCAGACTGGCTCTTGTGTCCTTGTGAGTAGCAGAGTCAGGATTCCAAGGCAGAGGCCAAGCCCAAGGTCAGGTGCCTGCCACTGAGCTTATGGCTCTCAGAGATGACTGGGCCCTCGAGAGCCAGGAAGGATACTGGGTGGGACTGGAGCAAGTGGCCAGCCCAGGCTATGGGGTCTGGAGGGCGGGAGGCTTGCCTGGGGGATGGCACAGCCAGCCTATAATCCGGATTGCAACCAGACCACCTGGCTTCACACCTGGCTGGAGGTCCTGGGGCAGCGCACCTGTCAATTGTCATCAAGGGCCAACAGTCACCAACCCCACAGAGAACTGTGCCTGCCCATACAAAGAGCCCGTACAAGGCAAGGACTGAGCAGTGGAGACTCAGGAGGGAACTGGGGCTGCTAGGCCAGTGCAGAGGTCAGGCTATAATCTGAAGACAAGTAGATATGACTGGAAAAGCAGAGGATGAAGGGGAATGAGGAGAGGGGACAGTAGTGGCAGTGCTGGCAGCAGTGATGGCAGGGCAAGAACCTAGAGACTGTCTCTCCCTTCCTTCTGAGCTCCTCCAGGGAGCCCACCCTTGCACCTCTGCACATAAGAGGGAGGGAGTGGGTTAGAGCTGGACAGGGGCCTCAGGTCAGGAGTCAGGAGTCAGAGGGTCAAAGGCAAACCAGGAAAAGGGATAAGACTGACCCTGTTCCCAGTAGCTTCTGTTTACCCTGAGCCTGGGGGAGGAACGAGCAGGGAAGGAGGGGCCTCACCAAGTTCTTGAAGAGCGCAGCCACCTCACGGGTGAACACAGCCAAGTTCAGGAAGCCTGTGGACAGCTCATGGCTGCTCTGGGAAAGGTGACTGTTGCCCAAGGACTCCACAGCCTCTTGGTACTGTTCCTCATTCTCCACATGGCCTGTAAGGTAGGGAAAGGAGTTCAGACCATGCTCAAGGCTGGGCTGGGCCTCCAGGACTCCAAGCAGGCTCACCCACCAAGGCCGGAGCTGTGGATCACCCGGATGGCCTTCTTGATCCTCTGCAGGATGGCCTGGTCTCCTTCCAGGATCTGGAAGCCAATGTAGACAGAGGTTCAGCACGCTGAGCTGCAAGGAGCTGAGCTGCATGGAGTCATGGCCCCCCTTCCAAGCACACAGTCTTGATGTCCTCTTACCTCTTCCCAGCACTTCCCTATGTCTCTCACCAAACACAAGCAGACCACCTTCTTCCTCTACGCCTCAGGGTAGCCATGAATTTTCCTCCCAACCCAGTGCTGGCCACGGAAAATATCTTTTTTTTTTTTTTTTTTGGATCCGGTCGTGGGGCCTGAACTCTGGGCCTGGGCGCTGTCCCTCAGCTCTTCAGCTCAAGGCTAGCGCTCTACCACTTGAGCCACAGCGCCACTTCCGGCTTTTTTCTTTTTGCTTATGTGGTGCTGAGGAATCGAACCCAGGGCCTCATGCATGCAAGGCAAGCGCTCTACCACTGAGCCACCTTCCCAGCCCGGCCACGGAAAATATCTTAATTAAAATGTATACCAGGCTGGGCACCGGTGGCTCACGCCTGTAATCCTAGCTACTCAGGAGGCTGAGATCTGAGGATCTCGATTCAAAGCAGCCTGGGCAAGAAGGGCCGTGAAACTCTTATCTCCAATAAACCACCAGCAAACCGGAAGTGGCGCTGTAGCTCAAGTGGTAGAGTGCTAGCCTTGAGCTGAAGAGCTGAGGAACAGCGCCCAGGCCCAGAGTTCAAGCCCTATGACCAACAAAAAGAATAAATAAATAAAATGTATATGGGGCCACGTGCTGGTGAGTCACATCTAGCTACTCAGGAGGCTAAGAACTGAGGATCATGGTTCAAAGCCATCTTAGATGGAAAGTCCATGAGACTCCTATCTCCAATTAGCCACCAGAAAAACCAGAAGTGGAACTGTGGCTCAAAGTGGCAGGCCCTGGGTTCAAGCTCCACAAATGACAAAAAGAAAAAAAAGGTGTGTAGGCCAGGCACTTGTGGCTAGCTACTTGGGAGGCTGAAAACTGAGGATCATAATTCAAAGCCAGCCCAGGCCAGGAAAGTCCGTAAGATGCTTATCTCCAGTTAAGCACCAAAAAGTCAGAAATAGAGCTGTGGATCTGGCTAGCCTTGAGCAGAAAAGCTCAGAGACAGCACTGAGATCCAGGACTGGCACACACATAAAAAAAAGTTATGCAAGCCAGGTGCCAGTGGCTCATGCCTGTAATTCTAGCTACTCAGGAGGCTGAGATCTGAGGATCACAGTTCAAAGCCAGAGCAGGCAGGAAAGTCTATGAGATTCTTACCTCCAATAAACAACTAGAAAACCAGAAGTAGTGCTGTGGCTCAAGCAGTAGAGTACTCACCTTGAGCTGAAGAGCTGAGGGGCAGCGCCCAAGCCCAGAGTTCAAGCCCCACGACCAACAACAACAACAACAAAAAAGAAGTTATGCAGCCCAGTGGGCTATACCAGGTCTGAGTTCAAATTTGGCTCAACCTAGAAGAATCTGTTAACTCATCCAAGTCCTAAACATCTTGTCTGCAAAATATATCGAATATTCATTTAGCAAAGGCCAGAGAATAAATATCTCTGAATCCCCAAAAGTCACAACAGGGAATCTTGTTCAGAAGATGGACGGAGAGCCAGACCCTCGCCCCAAACTAGACACAACCCAGATAGAAAGCTTGCTTGGCTCCGCCTTGCCCTTGTTTGATGGGCCTGCTGCTGGCCTTCTCAAGAGGCTTGGAAAGTGGAGAATGTCAGTGCTGGAAGAGACCTATCATCACAGATAACCTGTTCATTAAATCCCTTCACTCCTGCCTTGAAACCTGAAAAGCTGGACAGTGATTCAGTTAAACCACTATGGCTTTGCTCCCACAAACAGTACAGGTGAAACACGAACAGTTTCCAAAGAGATGTAGAAAAATTCCTAGAGGTGTATGGGTAGGGATGGAAAGGGGAAACAAAGGAGGCAACAATGCTTGATAAGAAATGTACTCGTTATCTTGCCCATGTAATTGTAACTCCCCTGTATGGTATTCTCACAATAAAAAAAAAAGAAAAGAAAAAAGAAAAATTCCTAGAGGGTTAACGCACGTGCCTAACCTATAGAAGAGGCTTACCTAAGTGAATGATGGTTTGCAAAGTGAAGAAGTGTTTACAGGGGAACTCTGTATTTTTCTGCTCAGTTTTACTGTGAGCCTACAACTACTCTACAAAATAAAGCCATAGCCAGGCTATGGATCACATCTGAGGCTGAAATTCAAAGGATTGAGTTTTGAAAACCAGCTAGATGCCAGGCATCCGTGGCTCACACCTGTAATCCTAGCTACTCAGGAGGCTGAGATCTAAGGATTCAAAGCCAGCCCAGGCAGGAAAGTCCAGGAGACTCTTATCTTCAATAAACCACCAGAAAACTGGAAGTGACACTGGCTCACGTGGTAGAGCGCTTGCCTTAAACTGAAAAGCTCAGGGACTGTGCCCAGGTCCAGAGTTCAAGCCCCACAACTGACCAAAAAAAGAAAAGAAAAGAAAAGAAAACCAGCCAGAAAAGTCTCATCCTAAAAAATAACCAGCAAAAAAGCTGGGATAGAGGTGGCTCAAGTGGTAGATAACAGCCAAACATGCAAGCTGCGCAAGCGGCAAGGGCCTGAGCTCAAATCCTAGTACTAGCACACACACACACACACACACACACACAAAGATAAATCTTCTTAAGAAAAAAAATTAGCTATACTCAGGAGGCTAAGATATGAGGATCACGGTTCAAAGCCAGCCTGGTCAGGAAAGTCTGTGAGACTCTTATCTCTAATTAACCACCAGAAAACCAGAAGTGGCACTGGGGCTCAAGAGGTAGAGTGCTTGCCTTGAGCTGAAGAGCTCAGGGACAGCACCCAGGCCCAGAGTTCAAGCCCCATGACAGAAAGAAAAGAAAAGAAAAGAAGGAAGGAAGGGAAAGAAAGAGAGAAGAAGAGAAGAGAAGAGAAGAGCTGGGCACCAGTGACTCATGCCTACCTGCAATCCTAGCTACTCAGGAGGCTGAGATATGAGGATCATGGTTCAAAGCCAGCCCAGGCAGGAAAGTCTATGAGACTCTGATCTCCCATTAACCTCCAGAAAACCAGAAGTGGTGTTGTGGCTCAAAGTGGTAGAGCACTAGCCTTGAGCTGAAGAGCTGAGGGACAGCACCCAGGCCCAGAGTTCAAGCCCCACAACCAACCAAAAATTAAAATAAAAACAAAGGAAAGGAGAGGTACTCTGTCACCTGTCTCTCTGGCTAGAAGGCATTTGTGATAGCTGACACTCGGACTATGAGATAGAAGCAATTTATATTAACAAGTGATAGAACGACAAACTACAAGTATTGTTCCCTATGGCTAGGGAGCCTCCCCCCTTTATCAGCTTTGGACTGCTTATCTCTGGACTTCTTTTCTATGAAGAAAAATAGATATCTATCTTATCTGGACCACTATTATACCTGCCAGGTATTCTATTATTTGTGGCCAAACCTCGCTCTAACTAGTATAGGCAGTCGAGTCACCCTAATTATCTACCAACTGTTCCTTGGTGCAGTGGTCAGGCATGTCAAGAAAAGGTTTCCTGTCCCCATGGCTTTTAGCAACCATGCTCACAGCTATCCATTTATTCTGCATTTGTTCAACCACTTCTGGGTGCCTGCCATGTGTCCACACCCGGGGTCTGGGGTAAAAAGACACCCCAGCTGCCAGGGCATCTTTGTCTGATGTAATCGGACACTCCGGGTGCAATGTGAAGAGGGCTGCAGTGGAAGGTGTGAGGCCCCTGGGGAAGCAGAGCAGCGTCTGCCTGGGAGCAATAGGCTTCCCCTAAGCTTGGCTAAGGTCTCTGGACAGGTGGGAGAGAGTAAGGGCTGCAGTGGAGACTTGGAGGGAGGGTGGTAAGGACCCCAGTCTGCTCATCACTCCTTTGTGCCAACACGTGTTTTCCCATTGCCTATTCAACCAGGCGTGGTGCCAGACCCTGGGGACACAGATGTGAGGTCCTTTCCTCCCAGAAGTTCTCCAGCGTAAAGAATGCAGGTGCCTGCCAGCCCCTGGCTGGTTCTGGAGTCGTAGCTATTCAGGAAGCTGAGAACTGAGGCTCAGGTTTTGAAGCCAGTGGGGAGACTTTGTGAGACGCTTATCTCTAATTAACCAGCAAAAAGCCAGAAATAGAGCTATGGCTCAAGTAGTAGAGCACCAGCCTTGAATGGAACCAGCCAAGTGAGAGCTTGAGGGCCTGAGTTCAAGCCCTAGTACTGGAACAAAGGACACACAGACAGACAGGACTAAAAAATAATATAGAGGGGGGAGATAGACAGGACTAAAAAAATAATATGGAAGGGGAAATAGATCGATCAAAAAAATAAAATAATATGGAGAGGGGGAGGGAACCTATGCTCTGCTTTACCCGCAGAATCCCTTGAGGCTTCTGTGAGGATGCAAACAGCAAGGGCTGCAGGGCAAGGCATCTGCGGGCCGGGAGTAAGACCTGTCTGGCTTCTCAGCCCACACCAGAGCAGCCTTCCTTCCCAGTCCTGAGACTGGATGTGAGAGGGAAAACACAATTAGCCTTCTGGGTCCTGGAGATCTTTCATGGGCCTTGTACTCTGGGCCTGGGTGCTGTCTCTCAGCTCTTCTGCTCAAGGCTACTGCTCTACCACTTAAGCTACAGAGCCACTTCCAGCCTTTTCTGTTTTATGTGGTGCTGAGGAATCGAACCCAGGGCCTCATGCATACAAGGCAAGCACTCTAGAATGAGCCATTTTCCCAGCCCCTCCTAGAGATCTTTTCATCCCTACCAGCAGTTCTCTAAGTGAGTTCCCTGAAGCAACCTCAGAACCAATGGGGAACCTGTCAGATATGCAGCTTCCAGCTCAGTCAGAAAACCTGGGGGTGGGCAAGACCCCTGTGGTGAGTCTAATCCACACCAAAGATCGGGCATTGCTGGTGCGATTCTACTCTTCAGAGGCCTTTACAACTAAAGATATATGGCCTGTGCCTCATGTCTGGCTGCAGTTCCAGCTCCTCAGGTATCTG